AAAGAGAGGGGGGGGGGGGGGATATTCTTGGGTAAGGATGAAAAACAACCAAAAGACAAAAAACAACAACACCACATACAAAGTCCACAGGCTTCTCTGACCCCCACCCACACCCCTGGACGCCGCAGTGGACTCCCTCGGCCTCCCCCTCTTTCCACTCCGCAGCCAGAGGGCGCCGACTGACACCCAAGCCGGGTCCCCTCCCTCCTCCGCCCCAAACCTCATGGATGTTTCTAACTCTCTATCCCTCTCCCTTCCTCTCTGTAAAAAATCAATAAAATATATATTTAAAAAAAGAAATCAACGGGGGAGCCCTAGCCGGTTTGGACTGAAGGGTCCCACGGTCGATTTCGCTCAAGGGCACAGGCCCGGGGTTGCGGGCTCCATCCCCAGCAGGGACCATGCAGGAGGCAGCTGACCGATGATTCTCTCTCATCACGGATGTCTCTCTCTCTCTTCCTCTCTGAAATCAATAAAAATATATTTAAATAAATCGGGGGGGGGGGATACGCGCGGCCAGCGGACCGCGCCCCGAATCCCAGCCTCAGCGGCCGGAATGGACTGACAGGCCGGGCGCGGGCTAAATACGTCATGGCGCCGGCGCCGGAAGTCCCGCCCCTGCCTGACGGGCGTCAGGAAACGTAATCTGCTGAGCGGCCGTGACGCAACGCCTAGGCTCCGGACACAGGCTTCTGGGTAATGTAGTTTGTTGCGCTGCGTCCAAGCGGGCGCGGGGCACCTTTGAGATGCTGGTGAAGGCGGCGCGGAGCCAAGGCGACAAGGACCGTAATAGGAAAGAGCGTCTTAAAGGGGACGCACCCACATTTCCGTAGTGGGCGGGGACAGTGCCACGTCTTCCAGCAGGTGACCCATTCTCTAATCCTGGAAGAGGTGCTTCACTTCTCCCACTGGAGACGTATGTATTTAGGGGAATTGGGGGGGGGGGGGGGGGCACTGAGATTTATGTTGAGCAAGGGCCTGGCCAGTGTTGCTCAGTGGTTGAGCCTCGACCTATGAACCTGGAGGTCACGGCTCAGGGCACATGTCCCAGTTGCGTCTGGATGCCCAGGAGGGGCCCTGCAGGAGGCAGCCAGTGGATGAAGTTCCTCTCTCATCGGTGTTTGTATTCCTCTATCCCTCTCCCTAAAAATCAGTTAAAACAAACCATCCAAGCGGGCGCGGGGGCAGAGCGTCTTAAAGGGGACGCGCCTACATTTCCGTGGTGGGCGGGGACAGTGCCAGGTCTTCCAGCAGGTGACCCATTCTGTAATCCTGGAAGAGGTGCTTTGCCTCTCTCACCTTTGGGCACTGGAGGTGTATGCATGTATGTATCTATGTATGTATTTATTTAGGGGGAAGGCACTGAGATTTAAATTGAGCAAGGGCCTGGCCAGTGTTGTTCAGTGGTTGTGCCTCGACCTATGAACCTGGAGGTCATGGCTCAGGGCACATGTCCCAGTTGCGCCTGGATGCCCAGGAGGGGCCGTGCAGGAGGCAGCCAGTCGATGAAGTTCCTCTCTCATCGGTGTTTGTATCCCTCTATCCCTCTCCCTAAAAATCAGTTAAAACAAACCAACCAAAATCCCCACCTCCCCCCGATTATCACCTCCCCCCTTTAAGAATGAATGTCAGCCCTAATCGGTTTGGCTCAGTGGGTAGAGCGTCGGCCTGCGGACTGAAAGGTCCCGGGTTCGATTCCGGTCAAGGGCATGTACCTTGGTTGCGGGCACATCCCCAGTGAGGGGCGTGCAGGAGGCTGCTGATCCATGATCCTCTCTCATCATTGATGTTTCTCTCTCTCTCTCTCCCTTCCTCTTTGACATCAATAAAAATGTATTTTTAAAAAATTAAAAATAAATCTACCTTATGATTCAGCAATTCTACTTCTGGGTATGTGCCGGAAGCCGGTCCATCCTTGCTGCTTGACACAGTCGCTGCAGGAAAGAAACATCTGCACAGCATATGTTTCAAGGGACCTGGCGTATATGGCATACTGTTCTTAAAATGTTTGCTCCCCTTCTTGGCGCTATGTGTTTTAACCAAGGTCACCTCTCCGAGAAAGGTTGTTTCCCCAGGTAGGGATTTTTCCCTGAAGTTAGGGAGGGGCGGGGCACCTTTGAGATGCTGGTGAAGGCGGCGCGGAGCCAAGGCGACAAGGACCGTAATAGGAAAGAGCGTCTTAAAGGGGACGCACCCACATTTCCGTAGTGGGCGGGGACAGTGCCACGTCTTCCAGCAGGTGACCCATTCTCTAATCCTGGAAGAGGTGCTTCACTTCTCCCACTGGAGACGTATGTATTTAGGGGAATTGGGGGGGGGGGAGGGCACTGAGATTTATGTTGAGCAAGGGCCTGGCCAGTGTTGCTCAGTGGTTGAGCCTCGACCTATGAACCTGGAGGTCACGGCTCAGGGCACATGTCCCAGTTGCGTCTGGATGCCCAGGAGGGGCCCTGCAGGAGGCAGCCAGTGGATGAAGTTCCTCTCTCATCGGTGTTTGTATTCCTCTATCCCTCTCCCTAAAAATCAGTTAAAACAAACCAACCAAAATCCCGCCCCCAATGATATCACCTCACACCTTGAAGAATGGGTGCCATCAGGTAGATACGCCCTGGCTGGTGTGGCTCAGTGGGTGGAGCGTTGGCCTGCGGATTGAGGGTCCCGGGTTCATTCTGGTCAGGGCACATGGCCGGGCTGTGGGCTCGATCCCCAGTGAGGGGCGTGCAGGAGGCAGCCGATCCATGATTCTCTCTCATCATTGAAGTTTCTCTCTCTCTCCCTTCCTCTCTGAAATCAATAAAAATTAAAAATAAATCTACCTTATGATCCTGCAATTCCACTTCTGGGTATGGAGCCAGAGGAAATGAAACAGGCTACTGAAGAGACATACGCACCTGTGTTTATTACAGCATCGTTCACAACAGCCAGGAAGTGCGGACAGCCTAGTGCCAGCGATGGATGAATGCATGAAAGAAGGAGTGACACACACACACACACACACACACACACTGGAATATTATTCAACCTCGAGACAGGAGAAAATAATGCTGTCATATGTGAAACATGGGTGGACCTTGAGGACATTACGCTGAGACAGAGAAAGACCAACCCTGCATGATGTCCCTTATAGGTGGAATCTGAAACAAACAAACAAAACAAAAAGGACTAAAAAAACAAGGAGAGGGCTGGTGGTTTACCCAAGGCTGGTGGGTGGGGACAGGAGAGTGTGAAGGGCACATACTTGCAACTAGTAGGTCAATGGTTCCTGGAGGCCCCGGAGGGAGTTACACAGGACGGAGTTACACACAATGACGTGATCATAAGCATCAAACGTGACATGTGCTCCCACCACAGAGGACACCAGAGGTGACAGCTATCGCCAGACGGCAACCACTGTGCAATATAAAGCTATCAGATAAACAGACTGTGCATCTGAGACTTACGCAACATCATGTCAATTATATCTCAAAGACAACGTCATAAATACATTAACCTGAGGCCTTGGATGGTCTTAACCTGTACAGTAAAGCATGCCCATCCACAGGTAAGTCCTTCTCTCCTTCGATACAGCGTCCGTTAGGGAACATTTTTAGTATTCTCCTGCAGGCTCATAGATGATCTCCTGCAGGCTCCATAGATGAAGTCGTCACATGTATCAGACTGATACTCCTCACAGGTGGAGACAGTGTTTTGCGACAAAGGAAGATTTCAGCGAACACCCGCGGCCGCTCTCGAGGGGGAGGGCAGAGCTGTGCACTGAGTCAGTGAAGGGACGAGGCCGTTTCACCCCAAGCCCTGCTGTCAGAGGTAGAGAGCATCATGAAGAACTGCCGTGGGCTCGTCAGGGAACCAGAGAGAAGCCACAGGTGCTCTCCTCTCTGTCACATCCACTCTCCTTCCTCCCCCTTTACGTCTGTTTTTTGTTCTTAAACGTTCTTGCGATTGCTTCTCAGCACTGAGGGCAGAGCGGCAGCTGAAGGATTTTGTCAACAGCCCTGGCCCAGTCGTCACATGTATCAGACTGATACTCCTCACAGGTGGAGACAGTGTTTTGCGACAAAGGAAGATTTCAGCGAACACCCGCGGCCGCTCTCGAGGGGGAGGGCAGAGCTGTGCACTGAGTCAGTGAAGGGACGAGGCCGTTTCACCCCAAGCCCTGCTGTCCCCGCCCCCAACAGCATCATGAAGAACTGCCGTGGGCTCGTCAGGGAACCAGAGAGAAGCCACAGGTGCTCTCCTCTCTGTCACATCCACTCTCCTTCCTCCCCCTTTACCTCTGTTTTTTGTTCTTAAACGTTCTTGCGATTGCTTCTCAGCACTGAGGGCAGAGCGGCAGCTGAAGGATTTTGTCAACAGCCCTGGCCCTTCATCAGTTTTCAGATGCAGCCGCATCCTCCACTCCCCACCAGCGACCTGGGGAGGAGAAACGCTGGTGACGTGCGTGACTGATGGGCGGCAAGCGGCCCCCACAACAAACATGCCCGAGACAGTTGGGGACTGACCACGGGGCCGCGGGCAGAACACGGGAGAGGAATCAGGATGAGGCAGGGCTGGGGCCTCGAGGGCCCCAGAACGAAGGAGATGCCACAGGGGAGAGGGTGTAAGGATGGAAGCAGCCCGGCCGGCGTGGCTCAGTGGTTGAGCATCAACCTCTGAACCAGGAGGTCAGGGTTCGATTCCCGGTCAGGGCACACGCACGGGTTGTGGGCTCCATACCCAGTATAGGGCGTGCGGGAGGCAGCCGATCCATGCTTCTCTCTCATCATTGATGTTTCTCTCTCGCCCTCCCTCTCTCTACCTCTGAAAGCAATTAAAAAACTATACATATATATTAGTATATATGGATGGAAACAGTGCGAGGAGGAGAGGCCCGGTCTCCCATCAGGGCCGCGGCTCCCGGGACGGCTGAGTGCTGTGCCCAGGGCTCTGTCCAGCGCCACAGAGGTCTGGCTGCAGCTGAACACTCAGTCTTCATGGGAAGGCAGGGACGGGTACCGCTGACCCGTGAAAGGGAAGCCGGTGCTGAGAGCAGACGAGACCCGGGCCGGGGGGTGGGGGCTACGGTGCCCGAGGTCGGGGTCGGACCGAGCAAAGCCGAACCCAGGCCAGGAGCCCACGGTGGCTCAGCTGCTGCAGCCGGGTTTGAGTCTCAGTCAGGGCACACAGCTAGGTTGCAGGTTCAATCCCCAGTCGGGGCGGGTACGAGAGGCACCTGAGCGATGCATCTCTGTCACATCAATGTTTCTCTCTCTAAAAACATATCCTCAGTGCCCTGACCGGTGTGGCTCAGTGGCTAGCGCATTGGCCTGCGGACTGAAGGGTCCCAGGTTCGAGTCCGGTCAAGGGCATGTACCTTGGTTGCGGGCACATCCCCAGTGGGGAGTGTGCAGGAGGCAGCTGGTCGATGTTTCTCTCTCATGGATGTTTCTAACTCTCTATCCCTTTCTCTTCCTCTCTGTAGAAAATCAATAAAATATATTTGAAAATAAATAAATAAAATAATAAAAACGTATCCTCAGGGGAGGATGAAAACAAAACAAACCAAATCGAATCAAGACAAACAGGGGCCGAGGAGTAGGACGCGGTCAGCCGCCGATGCTGACGGACACGCAGCAGACAGCGGGTGTCACGTGAGCCAGCCCTGATGCGCCCCGAGCCACGCTCCCACGGCTTCTCACTGGGCCAGGCCTCCCCCTGGTCTCCTCTGCGGGGCCTGGAGCTGTGCCCACCTGCTCAGGAACCCGGGCGCTGCGCCTACTCCGCGTGGGTGACTGCAGGGGACCTGGAGACGGCGAGTCCTGGGGGGAAAGAAGGGCTGGTGAGTGGCTGGCGGGGACCCGGGGCAGCCCTCCCCACAGGGAAGAAAAGCCCGTATTAGGAAACATCCCGTAAGAAGGTTCTGCAGGAACATCTCTGTCCCACAAGGAACGATCACGTCAGGGTCTACAGTCCCCGGGACAGTCGGGCCGCAGGAAATGCCAGCCGGGCGCCTGGGGGCAGAACCTAGGAGCAGAGGGGCCGGGGATTTAGACAGTCACACCCCCAGGGGTCGCCCGGCCACCTGGGACCTGCGGGGCCGACTGCCAGGCTCAGGCCACCCCACCCTTCATCTCACCGCTTCGGGCAGGAGACAGCTGTGGGGCAGCCGGAGGGCTCACACCACCTACTCCAGGGAGCAGGAGCGGTGCCTCGACAGACCCCCGAGACAGAAAGCTGCCCCCTGGGGGGGGGGGGGGGGGGGGAGATCACCGGGAACTGGGATTCACGCCACCCGCTGGCATCCACGCCCTTGTTAAGCTCCTCCGACTGCGTGTGGCCGAACCTAAAAACCTTCCTAATCAAGAGAATGTGGCAGAAAGTGATGGGACATCACTCCTGGAAACAGGTTACAAAAATGCCGGAATCCATCTCGGACGTCGTCTCAGGCTCTTGGAAACCAACGGCCTTGTTACCTGCTCATGAAGACAACATGGCAAGACACAGGAAGGGCCCTGGCCGGTGTGGCTCAGTGGATAGAGCCTCGGCCTGCGGACTAAAGAGTTTGATTCTGGTCAAGGGCACATGCCCGGGTTTCGGGCTCGATCCCTAGTGGGGGGGCCTGAAAGAGGGAGTCAATCGATCATTCCCTTTCATCACTGATGTTTCTATCCTTCTCTCTCCCTCTCGCTTTCCTTTGTATAATCAAGGAAAATATATTATACAAAAAAGAGAAACTGAGGAAGGGCTCCGACCAGCAGCCTCTTCATTCGGCTCCAGCGTAAGCCTTGAGGTGAGAGGGCAGCCCCGGACAGCGTGACCCAAGGTCACAACGACCTCGCGCTCCCGGTGCCCACATAGGATAGGCCTGATGCTTGACCCACAGAACCTGTGAGATAAGAAATGTGTTTTCAACTCACTAAGCTGGGCTCACTGAGGGCAGAGCAGCAGCTGAAGGATTTTGTCAACAGCCCTGGCCCTTCATCAGTTTTCAGATGCAGCCGCATCCTCCACTCCCCGCCAGCGACCTTCTCAGGAACCCGGGCCGCTGCGCCTACTCCGCGTGGGTGACCGCAGGGGACTTGGAGACGGCGAGTCCCAGGGAGGACACGAGGGCGAAGTTCTCCAGCATCACGTCGCGGTACAGGCGCCTCTGAGCCTCGTCCAGGAGCCCCCACTCCTCCCGGGAGAAGTACACGAACACGTCCTCGAAGGTCACACAGCCCTGGGGACGGGGACAGCTCAGCCCACAGGCAGCAAGGCCTCCCTCCCAGCTCCCACTGCTCCCACGGGCACCCCGGGCCCCCGTCCTCCCCAGCCCCCAGCTCCCAGGAGACACCAGGCCTTGGCACGGCTGGCGCCTGCTGTCCCCTCACAGCCTCTGATCACTGAGTCCAGCCCAGAGCGGGAGCAGCCGGTGAGCCAACAGACACTTTTAGGGGCAGAAACAGACTACTGGGGAGCAGCTATCGTTCTAAGAAACAGGAATTGCCCTGACCGGTGTGGTTCAGTGGATAGAGCGCCGGCCTGCGGACTGAAGGGTCCCAGGTTCGATTCTGGTCAAGGGCATGTACCTTGGTTGCGGGCACATCCCCAGTGGGGAATGTGCGGGAGGCAGCTGATCAATGTTTTTAACTCTCTATCCCTCTCCCTTCCTCTCTGTAAAAAAATCAGTAAATATAAAAAAAATAAAAGTAAAAAAGAAATAGGAATCATGGTCTGTTAACCGTGACTGTTTGGCTCTGATGAAAGAAAACACATTCTGGCGTGGCTGGGAGCTGCACGTGGGGTCTGAGAGCTCCCCTGGCAATGCAGCCCATCCTCCTCATTATCAGGAAAAGATTAATAATCCAGTAGCAGCCCTGACCGGTTTGGCTCAGTGGATAGAGCGTTGGCCTGCAGACTCAAGGGTCCCAGGTTCGATTCCGGTCATGATCAAGGGCATGTATGTTGGCTGCGGGCACATCCCCAGTAGGGGGTGTGCAGGAGGCAGCTGATCCATGTTTCTAACTCTCTATCCCTCTCCCTTCCTCTCTGTAAAAAAATCAATTAAATATATTAAAAAAAAAATCCAGTTGCAGAAACCAGCGCCACCAGCCCTTTGCACACCCACAGGTGTTTGCAAATCTCCAGCCCCCATTACGTCACCTGGCCACCTGGCACACCCTTCCGCCTACTTCCCCATGTGACCTCCGTCCTCCTATCCAATATAGGCAGCTGGCTCATGGAGGGGGCAGAGCAGACACTCATGGATGAACCGCTGCCCCTCCCATGCTGTGGGCAGTACAGTAGGTCCTCGGGTTATGTCGGAGATCCCACGGGGCGACGTAACGCGATTTTCGCCGTTAAGTTGGAACCCACCTACATAAGCACCTACATCACTTACATGGAGCACATACATAGCAATCATGAAATGAAACAGTAAAAAAAAATTTAAAAGAAAGATAACAGCCCCGGCCGGTTTGGCTCGGTGGATAGAGCGTCGGCCTGCGAACTGAAAGGTCCCGGGTTCGATTCCAGTCAAGGGCACATGCCGGGGCTGTGTGCTGGATCCCCAGTGTGGGGCGTGCGGGAGGCGGCCGATCCATGATTCTCTCTCATCATGGATGTTTCTCTCTCTCTCCCTCTCCCTTCCTCTCTGAAATAAAAATTTATTATAAAAAATAAAAGAAAGATAACAATTCCTGACCTTCACTTGTGCTAAATAAATAAAAAACATAAAGCACATAGGTACATATGTCGAGATGACGGAACTTTTTTTTTTTAATATATTTTATTGATTTTTTACAGAGAGGAAGGGAGAGAGATAGAGAGTCAGAAACATCGATGAGAGAGAAACAGCGACCAGCTGCCTCCCGCACACCCCCTATTGGAGATGTGCCCGCAACCCAGGTACATGCCCTTGACCGGAATCGAACCTGGGACC